AGACGCGAGGAGACGGTCGAGCTGCTGGCGGCGCCGTGGTGAACTGGTGTCGGTGGCGCCGACAGGGTCGAGGACGTCGAGGCGGAAGAATCCTGGAGAACGACGCGTGCCGGCGAGCGCAGCATCGTCGTCGTCGTGATCGTCGTGGTTGAAGACGATCTCTTCGGCGCCCCGTCCTCGTGCCCGAGGATCTTTTCACGTACGCTGGGTATGCACCAAATCTTGTTCGGTTCTCATCGAACACCGGCTGCGACACCGATTATCGCCTGGTGTTCTCACCTTTGATCAATCCCAACTAATCCTCAAACTTCACCCCTCCACAAATATAATTTATTCTATCTATTAAATTTTTATTTTTTTCCGAGTCGATATTTATTTCTAAGTCTCTTTCAATCGAAATGTGTCTCACTGTCTGTTTAAATAATCGATTTGCCTTAATACATTCTTTTAAGAAGCTTCGTTGAACACGAGGCAATACACACGTTGCAGAGCCGTTGTTTCGCTGACAGATCTGTTTCGCCCAGAAACATGATCGACGCCATGTCTGTAGCTAGCGTGGCGCCACTATCGGTCCAAGATCAACGAAGAGAGAATCCGGTCGCGTGACGCGTGCCAAGTCCGTCTCGATTATCATTGAACTTGAGTCGCTCTCGATTCGCGCGAGCTCCAGCTGAATCACAGCTTTCTCTCTCTCTCTCTCACTTTCACGGTATTCTGGGAGAACAATCGTTCGTCGACGTCTAAATAAAGAATCCCCCCGCTTGCGACTTCAACCGAGGATTTTAACGCACTATACTAATGTGTGATGAGTAAAAGCGAAGTACTCACCCCTAACGACAGAGAGCGTGCTTCCTCGATCAAAATCGAAATCGAACGAAATGTTTTATGTTACATCGTTCAAAAACGATTTTATGTGAATTACGAAATTTTTTATCAGCTTTGCTATTTTTGAAATTTTATGTGCTTGCTTTGGCAGTAATGCATTTTATCGAGATTACTCTCGAGAGATTTCGTATGAAAATAACTTTGTTCTCGGGTACACTCTTTAAGAAGACTGATAAGAGCAAATATTGGTATGGAATGATTTTGTTAATTTGAAAATTGATTGTTTTTTGAAGATAATGTTACTGTCGAATAAAAAATAAATTTTACTTAATAAATAAATATAATATATTTCTCGATAATCGAGACATTGATGAATCTTAATAAATGAGAATTCGTTATTCTTGTATTTAAATAAGTTATATGAAAAATAAAACAATATATGATATAACTACAAAGAGAAGAAGATTCATTCTGTATTATTGTCTTATATTTATGGAATTTTCCGAATATACGAAGATAGTTCAAGGGAATATAAAACATGCAGATTGTTTCGAGTCAAGTATCGCGTGAAGCAATTACTACATTTTTCATTTTTCATATTTTGTGCAATTATATAGTGAAAAAAGCATGAATAAAAAGCAACTTAAATTTATACTTTACAAAGAATGATATTAAAGATATATAAATAAATACCAAAAATATTTATGACATTATATAAAAAAATCAATCAAGTGGGTATTCTAATGCGTGAGAAAGTCAATGATATATCGACATGACAATGAAGGCCACTTCTAATGTTTGAGAAGTGATGCTTCCAGTTAAAAATAGTCGAGTGTTTTAAGAATAAATATTTTTAGAATTCAAATTTATTTTTCACTTCGAGATATAAAACATACCCTAATGTTTGAGACGCATTTCTAACACAATTATCCTAACCTAACCTAAAAATAAGAAAATACGTTAAATTTAAATTTTTCCCCCTAATCTCATTCAATTTCGCCACAATAAACTCATTTTCAATTGATTCGATGAAAAGCTAATCCCTTGAATAAGTTCCACAAGATATCTCTCATTTGTCGTGAAACAACACTCTCTGAAATGATCGCGAGGCTAAAAAGAAGAAAGACAAAAGCGGGAAAGTTTGGTTTTCGTGCTCGTTTCTCACCGAAATCGAAACGGGCCACGAGGACGATCACGATTATGATTCTTTGCACGATTTCTATCCCTATTTCCTGGGGTAGGAATGCGGCGAAATTTTTAGAATATGCGCCACTGGACCATCGCCAAATCGGTCCACGCGTTTCCTCATGGATACCTGGGAGATCTTTGGAAGATTCGTGACAGAGAATCTCTAAATTTGAAGATAATAATTGCTGTGTTGGCTAAGATTTTATGAAAGATAATTTGAGAATGATTATAAAAAAGTAATTTTACCAATATTTTAATAAAAATTTTTTTTTAATATTAATCCTTATTTCTTAAATGTTTCTTTACAAAAAGGATTATGTAAACAATTTTTATAATTAATATTATATCAAATATATTAAAATGATTGTTTCTAACTTGTCTTGTTCAAATAAATTCTAATCGATATAATATACTTGCAATCCAATAAACAACAATTCTGACTTGATTGAATTAGTCATGAGAACGTAGTTCACAGAGCACACCTTTCGTGTGCATGTCTTAAATGCTAATATGAAATGAAAAGTGGTTATAGACATGACGTCTTTAGTGAATCGTGCCAATAATATTTCTAAACTTTCCATTGAATTCATTATATATTTAAACAAATGAAGATATTAAAGATATATATATATATATATATTTAAAAAAACTGATTTTCATTTAAACACGAAAAAGTAATAAACAAAAATAAATAATACTAAATAGAATATTTAAAAAAGCAGGAAAAAAAAATAAAAAACAATGAAAAAAATATGGAAAATATTTTACGATATTTTTACTATGAATCGATAACATTGAAATATTCGAATATTCATTTCGAATTGTTTTTCTAATTTTACACGTATAATAAATCTCTCACTCTAAGCAGTTTTTGGCAGATTTTACATGTTTTAGAATTTCACAGATAGCTTTTGATATCGGATGCTTTGAATATTTGTTGTTGCATCAGGTTACCTATGGAAACAAATGAAGTTCCAATACGCAAAGCTAAACTAAATAAAGTTTCAACTGGTTCAATAGAAAACCACAATGAGGTAACGCGGAAATATAATATATAAATAGCATTGCATCCTCACTTTTATATAAAAATATTTATCAAATAATCAAAAAAATAATCAAAAAAATATTTATCAAATAATTTTATAATTATTATAATAATTATA